TCCTCCGCGGCGTTCCGGCGGTTCGCCCGCTGCGCTCGCAACGGGAGCTCGCTGTAGCCAGGCTTGTTGTGTGTGCCGCCAGCTTCTGGGGTGCGGAGGGATGACTCTGCTTCTTGAACTTGTCTTCCCCGCTCCCCCACCTCCCGCCCCTTCCCCCTTCCGGAATATAGAGATGTCTATTTAAATACGTATTCCAGGGCTTCAGCTTGTGTGCAGGCGAGCGGTGCGTCTGCGGCGGCCGAGCAGCGTCTGTCTGAGGAGGAAGGTCTGCCCGCTCCGTCGGTGGCGCGGTGTAAATCCGAGGGGAGCAGACGTTGTGCTCGTGGGTGTCGAGGTGCGTGGGCTCAGGGAGGCGTCGGGTCTCTGCTGCGTCACGTGGACGTCGGAGTCGGCGCGGAGGCAGACGCGCCCGAGCTGGTTGTCAGCGCGAGCCGCCTGTTTGCGCTCAAGTAAGCGCGGAGGCGAGGCAGCAGCGCGCTCTTGTTCGTGGATACCTGCGCCCTGAAGTAGGCTCTTGGCTCAGTGTTGTGCCGGGGAGAACAGCCCGGGGATGGTGCCCAGATCCCAGCGGGTGAGGTGGGAAGGTGGTGTGCGGTGGTGGCACGAACCCTCGGCTCAGCCCTCGGGAGCCAGCAGCGTCCTGCTGGCCAAGTGGCTGGGGGGTCCTGCCCCAGCCCCAGACGCCTGTCATCCCTTCGCCGTCTCAGTGACGGGGATGTCTGTCCCTGGCCCTAATTTAAGTACTTAAGGACCTGGTTAGGGGCATCTCCTGCTCCTTCAAGCAGCTGGGTGCGGTTGTTGCTCGCGGTGGATGCCCGGCGGGCCTGTGCAGAGGGCACTCCCCGCTCCTTTGGGCAGCTTGTCCCATCTTCTCAAGAGAGCTGCAAGGATGTGAAACTGCAGCCACCTGCCTCGGCGTGAGCCAGCCGCTTTGCCTGCTGGCCTGCACGTCCCTTCCTTGGGTGGCCCTGGGAGCCACCCCCAACAACTGCCAGAGGCCGGAGTAACATGACAGGACGTTAGGGCAGCTCCAGGCTAGGGGTGAGCTTCAGCTGAGCTTTCTTGGGAAACAGCATTCCCTGTCGCCTTGGAGTGGTAGAGCGTGCTCTGTCCTTCCTACCCTTACTGCAGGATGACCTTGGCAGGGGAATGGTTCTCCTTGACCTTGGAGTTACACCCCTTAAGAGCAGAGGCACTCAGCACACTGAGCGTCAGAGACCTCCTGCCTATTGCTTTTGTCCCCGCCGACCGAAGCGCTTCCGTTCTTTCCTCGCTGTCCGGACATCCGTAGGAGAGGGATCTGACGCGGGAGCGGACTGCCGTACCCTTCCACACTGTCTCATCCGCACGTCCGCTGTCTTAACTTCATTCCCTGTCTTTAGAGACAATCGATATACTGTGACTTCGGGAATCTTTTCCTAGACCTGGCTTCTAGCCCGGCTCTCCGGAGCTAGGCGGAGGTGTTTCTGGAGTATCCGTGCCATGGTCGTTATAGCGAAGAACCCATCTGCTCGCTCGGAGTGGCACGGGCGGGTGCTGTGGCGTAGGGTTGCTCTCTGGGGGCGTTCCCAGGCGAATCCCTGGTGCCCCCGTGCCAGCTGCCCGCTCCTGCGTGTTCAGCCAGAGCGCTCCGTGCCCTTTGCCTTGGATGAGATGGGCTGGAACCGCATCACCTCCGAAGAGCTAGAGTGGGGAAGCCCAGGCAGAGGCCCTGCACTGTTCTCTCCGGCTTTGTCTTGTCTCTGGTACGAAAGGAACCGCGGAAAGCCGGGCCTGACCTGCAGAGCATCTCGTGCTCCGGTATCCTCCCGCCTCCTCGGGCGAACAGCGCTTGCTGCTTCCCTCGGGGAACTTGCGGCCTCTTACGCGTTTGTCCACGGCCCCGTTTTCCTCACTCATTTCCGCACGTTCAGGCATTTCATCCGAGTGGTGACGGCTGAAGCAGGGAGGGCAGAGAGGGGTTCTTACCTCCTGCCTGGAGGGGTGAGTAAAGGGGCCTGTGTAACTTGATAGTTACTCATCCGTTGGCTGCTTCACCCCTGGAGATGGATTTTTAGATGGGAGGCAAGGTCTGGAGTGGTTCCATCTGCCCCAGGCTGACGGACAGAGACTTAACCCGATCGCTGAACAGGGATCCTCTGCTGTGCTGCCGCTCCCGGGGCGGGAGTCGGGACAGGCGCGCTCTCGCCGTGCGGGGCTGCTGTCGGCTTGGCACGCGCAGGGTGGGTCAGGCCATCGTCCGCCCTCCGCGCTGCCGTAGGAGTGCGTCGGAAGACTTGCCGAGCCTGTGCTTGCTCGTCGTCTTGCTGGTCTGGGTGCTGCCAG